GACATTTCCAGTTCTCAAGTTCTCACGTTCCTTTGGTCCCTGGGAAGGGACAGGAGAGGCACAAGCTCTAAGAAGCTTAAATCTTACATCTTTAGAAGGTAGTGTGGAGAATGCATTTGTATTATTTTGCTTACACCCGTGCCAAAATCAAAGGAGAGATAAGCATTTTCAGTACAGGAAGATCTTAAAATACTCCAATCTCATTTTGAAAAAGTGGAAAATAAACTTCAAAAAATAGTATTTAAAGGCTTTGAAGTCTTCTTCTACTACATGATCCTGTCTCTTGCAGTGCAATACCCGAAGAAACAACTGTCTCATGACCACAATAGAAAAGTAGCTGCCAGAGCAGCTCTTCTAGCAAAGATTCTTCTTGCAAGTTTGCTTGGAGTGCTGAACTACCTTCTTTTTCTCCAAATATATTCTAAGAATGAACTGCAAGGTTCTCTAACCTCTAACATCTCTAATCTTGCAATGGAGGTGCTGATGTCTCTCCAAGCTCCCTCTACCAATGAGAGAATTTTTCTAACAGGAGAGGATCAACTCCATATCTGGATTTTTTTATTTTTTTTTACTAGAGATAAACTGTTAAAGGAACAACTTGAAACCAGGCCAAAGGAATATGCTCGGTGCTCTGTGCTTTTTGCTTACTAATTTCAAAGAGGAAAGAGGTACCTCAGAATGTAAATCATCACAGCTATTATTTGCTGTGATTATTTGTAAGCATGTAAATCTATCTGTATCACTTGGTTTCTATTGATCAGATACTTTGGCCTGGCTTTGGTAGCATAGATGTTAGAGCTTTGGTTTGCTTTACTGTAAATGGATGCCATGAGGTTACTGAAAATTCAAAAACTCATTATTACTATCATCTGCTGTTTTTCTTTTCTGTGTGTAGGATGCTAACAACAAAACTTATCTATAGCATAGCTTTCCCACATAGAATTAGAAGTATTAGTGCTAAGGTTTCTTATCTAGTCTAGAAGGACCTTTTCCTAACATCAGCTTTCGCCACTCTTGAGAACAGGGCTCCCACTTCTCAAAAGTTGATGTCTGTTTTCTTCTTTCCATTTCTTTCATGACAGAACTTTAGGAGACATTCAACAGCCTGAATCTTATTTCCTTCTCAGGACTAGATGGAAGAGAGTTTGTAAAAAGTCTTCTTCAGAGGGGTATGATGTGAATTGCAGCTCTCTTATACTGGAATAACATTGAAAACTAAGTGCAATGTTTAGCTTAGTTTCGTCTCCAGACAGCTATTTAAGATGGTAAGTTAATTTACCTTTGCACAAAACGATCACATTCACCAGATACATTAGATGATTCTACTTAAGATCTGTACAACTTATCCATAAACAAGAAAAGCGAAAGAAGAATTATTAGAAGGAAGTAACCTGTTTTTTTCACATAGCTCTAGGTTCAAAGTCAGAGAGGTCTTTCCAACACAAAAAAAAAACAAACATGAAAAGTTTCTTGGATATGAACTGGCAGTTTTAATGAACAGAAATATCTAAGTTCTGTGTGAGAGATCAGAAATTCAAATGCATAAGTCTGATTCAAGGAACACCAGAAGTTCCATATGAGCATGAGAAACAACTTCTTTACTTTGAAAGTGATGGAGCCCTGGAACAGGCTGCCCACGGAGGAGGTGGAGTCTCCTTCTTTGGGGATGCTCAAAGCTCACCTGAATGCATTCCTGTGTGACCTGCTGTAGGGAACCTGCTTTAGCAGGGGGGCTAGGCTAGGTCACTCTAGATGTCCTAGAGGTCCCCCCAGACCCTACAATGCTTCAGTTGCTTCTAATATGGACATCACTCCCTCTTTTCTCTGGCTTAGGAGAATTTGTACAACCATTAATATTCCAGCTTCAACCATTTAAAAAAGTTCTATGAATTAATGACGTGAAGAAGGATAGGAATGCATGTCCTAAGCAGTCAGAAGTGCTATTTATTCCTGTTGGAGAAGTGAAAATTGAGGTACAGGGGAAAGCCTGCAGTTAGGAGCCCCTTGCCTGTCCTGGCAGCATCTCCCCATCTGGAGGTGTGCCTTCAGGCCCTGTCAAGGTGAGCCTCTTGCCAAAACATCTCTCCAGGGAGATTAGTCTGGGTTGCCAACTCTCCCTTACCAGGAACATTACCTTAATGCTTGTGGGTTGATTCCCTAATGAACAACCATTCACGGCTACTTTTGATGACTGTAATGAACTTATGCTGGAGACAGTATCTTATTACAGCCTTGCTACAGGCTCTTATTGTTGTTTAATTGTAGTTCTATTATTCATGGAAACAGAAAAGAAATATGCTTACCCTTACCTTTAAGAGAATGAGTCAGAGACTTGTGTAACTCATACAATATAATATTTTTTCTTGTTTGTGGTTTCCTGGCTTCGCCGCACTAATCGCAGCGTAACCATTAGATGTATTTCCAGGTTAACTTATCTAAGAACTCATATAACGTTTCATAAAAATGTATTATTGACCAAAATATTTAATCCTCAGTTCATGAGAATGAGGCTAAAAGTCTTTCATAGAAGGAAACAGGGTTTGCAGCAACTTCCTTTAGCAGGAATGTTGACTTACCACCAGCTTTCCTAGCAAACCCATGACTAAACTACTGCAGTACTGCAACCGAAGCAGTTGTGATGAAGTAACTAGGAACCAGCACGGGGACTTCTTTCTTTGGTCATCTACAGCAATTCCTCCCTTGCCTAGATGCAAGGAGTGCAACTCAGCTCCCAGCACCTGATTTATCTGTCAAGACTTGCAGGATATTTCAGAAAGACAAACTAAAATTTATCTGGATGTGTGGGGTGTAGCCTGCTGATTCATTACTAGCTGAATTTCTCCTACAATGGAAATCTCAAAAGAAGAGGGTATAGATGGGTATAGATGACACCTTTCCCTAATAAGAAAAGGGTAAAAATTGGAGATAATCACATTGCAGACACAACTGTAAAACAGAATAATAATGAAAGAGAAATATGGGAGGGAGAACAATGGAAAAGAGCCACTGAGAGGGTCAGGAAGCAGATGTTGAGTATAACAGGGTTTGCAGGATGCCATGATTTCTTGTTGTCAATATGTGTATGTTTACAGGAGAATAGGAAACTGGAGGCAAGCTGTGGAGTGCTAAATTTGGCAAGCAGTTCTTTTGAGGATTAAGTTGTCAATGTTACAATGCTTCTATTTCAAGCCAGTGTTTACTACATCATACTGAAATGAAGATTGTAAGACGAGGGCCGTAAGGAATAGTGGGCTCCTGAAAAGCAATTTATTTTTTTTCTCTTAGCAGGAATGGTTTTCCTCCTTTTTGGTAGGGAAAAGGAAACTTTAGGAATAGGCACAGCCTTAGCAAACTGCACCAAATACTACTGAAGACAGAACTGATATTTGAATTTGATATTTATGAAAAATATAGCAGGAAAAGGCATATGAAATTCTGCTAGACTATCCCCCATGGCTTGGACAGCCCACACTATGCAAGACTGCTCCTCTGTGTATAATACATTGAGCTGACCTGAAACTGCAATAAATCTGGAAAAGGTACAGTACAAACTGAATGTACCAAACCACGAAATTTACGAAAAATTGTCTTATCTTCTGTTCTGTTGTATTTCAGACTGTCTCCCACTTTGATGCCAGAACTCAGTCGACAAAGTGTTTCTTAATGAGTAATGAGATTTGGAAAGAAAATATTTGCACAGGCATCAGATGCGCTTTTAATTCCATCCTCTTTCTCTAAACAGATATTAAGGATTTGCCACAGTTACACTTTTTTTGACAAAACTTTACTACCCTTTGTCCAGACACATTGCAGCAGTCACATTTAAAGAGAAAAATCACAGTAGTTCTTTAAAATCACCCCACTACCAACCAATACGAACACCTAGCTTTGTGCACAGTAGTTATTCAAATGTTAAACTCCAGTCTTTCAGCAATGGTCTTCTCCTGGTGAAATTGTTTTTTATGATACCTCATGATGTTAGGAATCTATTCTTAGTCTGAGGAGGTTTATAGTTTTTGCTTTTCCTCCCAGTCCTGAGCTTTGTGTAAAAGCGTGCAAATAAACAGCTGCAATTTTAGGGAGGGCAAAGTGACCAAACAGCTAATTAAAACTGTGTGATTCAGACTTCTGAACTAAAGATCATGGAGATAATCACATGCAGGTCACATCACTCCGTACATAAGCACAAAGATCTCATTTTTGGCACCTGCTTTTTGGAGAAATTTGGCACAGGCTTCCTGAAGTGCAGCGTAAAAGACACTGGCAGCTTCTCCAAAGGGTAACTAATTGCTGTCCAGTGATACACCTCTATTAAAAGAAAAGCAAACAAGGACAGGCTCAGATCACTGTATTTTAATCTCTCCCTCTGCATTTCCTCCGAACCCAGAAAGAACTGAGGCTCAGTTCCGCAATAGTCCATCTTTTCTGTAAATCCACACTAAATTAATTAGCAGATCCAAATGCTTTTCTACGTTTCTCAATGTTGATTACACTTCAGTGCAAGGGATACAGAGATGACTGTGGTTCAGTTGTTCTAAAAAAAATGGCAGATAGCTCTCCCAGGGCTTCAGAGTACCAGCAAAAATGGTCTTTCTGTTAGTAATCTGCAATAGAATGGCTGTTCCAGGTTTCTCTAGTTCTCTAATTATGGTGCAAATGTCAAGAAGTCTTGCAAATTCATATTTAACACAATGTTTTCTTTGCATGCCGAGAATATCTACTTGTAATGAAATGTAATGCTTCAAAGTAGAGCAAAGGATGTATCAGAGAACATTATAGAGAAGAAATAACAGGAAAAATATGCCGTATTTTTAGAGGAAGATGATCGCATCTAAAATTAGCCATCTGAGGTATTTGAGTCAGGATGGCCTAACTTGAAATTGCTGCTAATTCCTGCCTTGCTGTAGAAACAGCCTAACAACTCGTATGGCAGCTGCTGCTGATTACTGTCTCAAATTCCTATTGGTTTGAAGTTGCCCTAAATGGTAAACAGGTGATGTAGGAACTGGTATTTGAGCAAGTAACTGCAGTCATATATGGAGGCTGAAGTTTCTGGAGGCTTTGTGTTATAGAAGGTGATGTATTCAGAAGAAGGGTGGTGTTTTTTATATTTTACTGTGGTTTATTTTGTAGAGTGTATTTATGTAAGGTATGTAGCTGAGTGATTTAGGCAGTGAGAGCTATGCTGAATTACCCATTTAATCCCCTAACAGGAGATGTGCACCTGTGCAATTGAGGCTAAAGCAGTTCCTGTAGCAAGCTTCTCCAGTACAGAAGACTGGACGTCATCCTACAGGTAAATACAGTCGGATTCAGTGTGGAGAACCATAGATTTAAATAATCAAGCTTAATGAACTATAATTGCTTGGATTTTATCAGAAGTTTCCTCTGGTTAGTTCTTGCATCACATCAGGGAGAGGAAAGTGCAGACTGTGGGTTTTCTGCATCCTGGATAAATGTCACTTCCTTTACCAGTAATGGTAGCTGTATTTTAAAATGAAGGTTGTGAGCTCTGCTCAGAAGACAAAATTTAGAGCAGTAAAGTCTGAGTGGATGCTATAATGCTGTTCCAAGTATCACAGTACTTAGAAGCAGTGTTTCTCAGGAATGGACTGAGGTGGAAGTGACCTTGCTCTGCACGTGTGCCAGGCTGTAGGGAAGGAACATTACTCTGTTTGTCTGGGGTTCAGTGTGTTAGTCTTCCCTACAAGGCCAGCAGCCTTATTCCAGGTTTTTTTTGTACAACTTGTGAGCATCTTGAAGAATAGGCACGAGCTTGTGTCTGATTTGATCATGAGTGAAGCAAGCTTGCTTCTTGCAGAGCACCCTAAGGGCAATCCCTAAGTTCTTTTAAAGGATAAGGTATATCAGGCCAGAATACGCAGAAGTTGCCTCTTATCAGTTCTGCTTCCTCTTTGTAATTTCTATTATCTTTGATAAGGATTTGATTATAATAATTCCCATAACTGGTGAGAAATACACTTGGGGAGCAAGAGTATAAGTTTGGACCGCTACCAGGAGGACAGAATGTACTCCCTGCTCAGTAATTTATTAAAGCTAGTAGCACAGCAGGGCTGGTGGAGCTGGTGCTTAGGGTCTGAACAGCATCATTTCCCAGCATTACACTCTTCTGTTCTCATTGTTTTAAGCCCATGTTTGTGTTGTGTCTGAGAAAAGATTGTAACAGAGGTCTGCATTTGCCACCTGCTGTGCTCTGTGCCCAGGGATAGTAATCAAAGAGTAGTGCTACTGGATGTTAGTCTGTGTCTGCTCCAACAGGCTTCTCCTTCGCTCTTCTGGCACTTAATGAGCTGCACTGGCTGCTGCTTCATGAAATACCTTGTGTCATTGAAGATGTTTCCTTGGACCACGTCAGAAATAATAGCAATAATATACAATTGGGGGCAATTCTTGTGCTTTGCTAGTCTGCATTTAATTCACTTTTGAAATCCAACATGGAGCTGGGAGTGCCTCATTTAAGAGCTGTAGCATTTTGATCACATAATGTTGTGTGTGAGATGATGTCCAACATGGGAAATACAACATATCCTTTTTAGAATGAATTAAGGATGGCTTTTATTTTGTTACTGATAATGTAAAATGCAACATAAGGAAATTGAAGGTTTATTTTGTTGTCTGATCTGCTGTTTCTGCAGTTACTTTTATAACAGTTATGCATACCTCTATCTTGATGAAGAATGCTTTTAGAACTCAAAATAAGAAAAATGCCATCAATGTCCCTGTTCCTTATATTTGCAGGTTTGATTTGATTATCTTCACATTTGGGCATTGCTGTGAGTTCTTTTCTTCACTCAAAAAAGTCATATTTACATGAAATGTAAATTTACATTTACGTATTTACACATCATACAAGTGATGCTTGATCTTCCATACAATACCAGTGGATATATATATTTTTTTCCCTTCATTTTTTTTTTTGTATAATGTATTTTTGGGGCCGTAAACAGGGAGAGAGGACATAAGTTCTTTCCTACTTAAAATTAGGATGTGAATGTGTTCTTAGAGCCTCTCACAAATTAACAGGTCAAAAAGGTCAATAGGATATAATACCAGAAGTTTGCAGAAATGGAAAGTCACCACTAAAAATGCTAATTATTGTGTATTTCTTATTGAGGAAAATGTCAGAGGGTATATTTCCCTACTCCATCTTTTGAAAACGATCATAGAAAATTGGTGTAGAAATGATCTCGATGTTGGAAGTATATACAGAAAATATACTCTGTATTTCTTGCACATCACAGAAACCCACCTGGGTTTAATGAATTGCTCTCCTTCCTCACCTTTTTGCTTTTGCTCTGCAAGCTGAAGTTTTACATAATGACACATTTTGATATATTGCTATTATGTCATAGAAGATAATATCTGAGAAAGAAAAACAGAGCAACAGTAAGTGTCACAGAGAATTAATGTTCCAGTTATAAATCTGCAAGCAAATGTGAACAGTCCGTTCTGAAATCTTTCCTATTTCTGGCATAGAAAGACAGCAAAACTACGTTGGTATGTTGCTGGAGTTGTGAAGCTGTGGGAAGTTGTGTGCATGATGTGTGCACGTGGCTCTTTTGTATGTTTTAAATGCAACCAGATCTGCAAATGGTCTGAAGTTGATGTGGAACTACTTGCTGGTTGCACTCTTTCTCCCGTGGCTGCAACTTCAGGGTAGGGAAACAATTCTGAACAGAAAACCTGAGGGTGATTGCACGAGTGGTTTTCTGAAGGCACCACTGAGCATGTGTTTGTGATACAACGAGGTTCTTTCAATGTGTGGAGCTCTTTCCAAGAATACTGGAGGAAGTATGCTCCATTGACTGAGGACATCTATGGTTCTGTTGAAAGACAGAAAAACGAATAAACAGAGCAATATATTTAAACAAAAATAAAATAATAAAAAAAAAACCAACCACTCTTTTCTCCTAGCTGCCAGAAGCAGCACTGTTTGCTTTAATTCTTTGTTTGCACAGTAAGTAGCCCTTCTAATTTCTGGTTCCAGTTAGAGAGGCAAGTAGGTGTTGCCCATGTCACTAGTGTTATTGGCTTTTCTCTTCCAAGTTCTGTAGCCCATGCAGAATTCCCTGGGAACATTAAGCTTGTTCTTGATATCAATTAATTACAGTCAGTTGCTCCTGAGCAGGGTTTTGGCTCATATCTGATAGAGAACAGCGCAGTGCTGTGCTGTGTGCGACAAGGAAATGACTGGGGCAATCTTTGTGTCTCATCTAAGAGTTTGGCAGATGATTCTTATTCATGCCTGTCTGTTTCTTGTGCACTTAAACATGAGGATGACGTTCTCTTCAATTACGCCTCTAATTTTATCTGTGTTGCTGGATCCCTTTCCAAACAAGTATGATCAATCTATGTACTAATGGTGCTTTTTTTTTTTTTCCACTTAGTCTACTATCACCTTTCCTTTTATTTTCATGGAAAGTCCTGATGGTGTGAGAAGGGAATTAATGACATTCAGCAGATCTGCATGATAAATAATGTAATATTTTATTTGTGGCAAATATGACCTTGAGGTTTACTACAGTTAGAGATGTAGTTGGTGAACTTCAGCTTTTTTGCCCTTGCTTACCTACTTGCCAATAAGCTTCTAAAACCAGCATAAGAAGAGTGATTTCCTGTCTCTTTCCAGTCCTTTTTCCTTAACTTCTCCACAAACTCAAGGCAAAATCAATATGGCTTTTAGTTGCAAATTTTCACTCTTTTCCAAAATAAGCTTCTGCTCATCTGAACGCTGCAGCTGCCCTGGCTCCAAGCAATGTGTGTTTGTATAGGAGATCTGGCTTTGAATGAGCCACTGTAGAGCTGGTAGCCTGCGCTATGGCTCTGAGAAACACAAAACTGATGGCTGTCATTCCTAGCTTGCTCTCACCCTCAATTAAACACTGAAGTCTTTGTTAACGCTTTCATAATGATTGTTTTGGCTATTAGGATTTGTGCCCTGTGAGACAAGCCAGAAAGCCTGTGCTGACACTGGTGCAGTGAGCACACTGCTTGTTTCCATCAGAAGGTGAGGATGCAGTGTGGGACTCCCAATAACCTGTAAGTGAGCCCTGGAAAAGATGCAGCTAAAACTAAGCAGTGAGAGCTTTAGCCAGTGCCTTGAGCAATATATGATTTTGAAAATACTGTGTTTTTAAATTATATTTTTGATTGGAAACTAAACACAAACCTGCTTCATAAGCACTAAGTTATTTCTGTTGCTAACACTATTGGATGAGCTGGGTCTTGGATTATTTTCTGATCTATTACTGATAGACCACAGTTTTGGAACCAGTAGGCTATGACAATTAATTGAAACATCAGAATTGCAGTAATCACATTCTCTTTCTTAGACCACTGAGCTGGCGCTATGGAATTTCAACTTAGTTTAAGGGAATGTTGCCATATGAAAGTTCAGTTAGATTAAGTGTTTCAACAGTATCAGAGCAGGGAAATCTGGTTTTCTTGCTTTGGTTCCTTTCAACTAATTATTCTGTCACCAGCACAGTGAGTCACCCAGTACTCTAAAGTTATTTGGTAATATTCTTGGAACAGTCTATAGAACAGTCTATGCTGAGAAGCTGCCCACTAGTACTGACCTATTCTTACTTGGCAGATCAGCTTCTCTTACTCATTAGAAATTCATTCCAGCTGACACCAGAGTCATTATGCTTCTTTCTGTGTTTTGTTCCTGGCAAACTTCTGGTCAAATACCACTTTCCAAACCTGTGTGGTGTTGAAACATCTCTCTGGAAGTGCTGTCAAGCACCCCTTGACAGCTCTATATGCAAAATTTCTCTTTTCAGGCATCTCCATGAGGAACAGCATCTCCAGTGACACAGTTACCTCAAAACTCTGGGGTGTTTGTGCACGCAGAGAGAGGAGGAGAGGGTATAAAGGGATGAAAAAGTGGTTTATGTGGTTGTGTGTGAGTAGTATGCCAGAAGAAAAAGCATGTGTTATCCTATACACTGGAAATAGCCTTGTCCAACCTACCTATTGATGCAAATCCCTGCAGTGAGTGGAGAGATTCATTGGAAGTGCTCTGGATTTTACAAGGCTGATACTGATACATCTGTATTGTGCTTCCCTTTCCTGTAAGCAGTGAAAGAGCAATTGATTATGCAAAAATTCCAAACTGATGATTTCTTGGATGGGAGTAGTTTGAAGGGAATGAGTGCTGCCAAAGTGAAACCCTATTTTGTACCCTTTAGAGAGACTTGGATACCTGTCTTTAAATCAAGAAACTGTGGTAGTGCAGTCTTGCTTTGTAAATGGCTGGTTCTGTACAATATACAAAAGATATATAGCCTCTGAGAAGAAAAGGACTGCCTCTGAAAAATCCCTTCAAGAGCAAAGGGATTGCAAAAACTTGTGCTTCCTGGATCCTCAGGAAAGCTCAGGGCTGAATGCTTCCTTGTAGAGTATGTCTTGCTATGCTGAGGATATTGTGCACTGTTGTTCATGTTGTCTCTTCTAACTGGAGTAAGAGTGGTGGTATTCCTCAGGAATTCTTGTTGTGGGTTTTTTTGTTTATTGATATTGAATGAAGGGCTTAGTGAGTAGTTAGTATTCAAAAATACTTCAGTATTTTACACTTGCATGTACAGTCCTTGGGGGAAAAAAAACCCCAAAACTTGTTAAAGCTATGGAACTTGGGTAAGCAGTTTATAGCTAATAGCTAAACCTGAAGGCTAACCTGCACATGACTTAAATGCATGTTTTTACTTATTCTCTGTAGTGACAGCTATGATTGGGATAGAGGAGGAGGCTTTGTTTGAAGCAATAACCATGCTTTGTCATGTGATGAGAGAGCAAGCTGTTTTTTAATCATTGCTCATTGGATCACTTAGAGCTCCCAGACAGCAGTTGAGGTGCTTGAAAGCATTGGCAATTCACCTTTCCTCTGTGCACTGCTGCTTGCAGTAACACCAACTACATGAGAAGGGCTGGAATACCTGCATTAGGAACACAGTTTATCTTCCTGTTAGTGGAAATTGGCACAGTAATAACTAGAAGGAGGGAGAACAAACAAAACAAAACACGCTATTCAGATGGCCAGTGATCCAAATGAGAAAGCTCATAAAGAAGGCCCTAAACATCTGGGGAACTTGAATGCAAATTATGAAAAACTCCCTTCCACACTGCTTCCTTCCTGAAATAAGGGATCCTGAATTGACTTTTTGTGCTCGCCATTTTGGGATGTTGTTTTTTTGTTGTTGCTTGCTGTATACATCTCGTTATCAACACTTCATGGAGGGATAGAATTGCAGTTCTTATTTATATAAAACTCCATTACTTTGCTATTTAGGCAACGCTTTTCAGACTCCTGTTGGGCTTATTTTAGTTCATATTTTTTCCTCTTGTTTTATGCTTATCTCAGTGCTAATTCATTCATTTATGACTAACAGCTGGCTGGTCTCCACAATTCAGATATCTCTGGGAAAAAGCCTGAAACAGAGCCATGCTGTGTACAGTAACAGTAAGGCAGGAATAAGTTACACCTCTCATGCTAGCAACGTTTTTAAAGAATCATTAAAAAGGAACACAAGTGACGCACCTTAATGAATATTTATTAATGTGCTGGAACAACACGAGCTGCTCAGTTGGCTACTGTGTGTTCTGTAATGTGCACATACCTATTGCAGTTCTGGTTATGTTAGCTATTAGCCACGTCACCTTCCTCCTGTTGAACAAACTGCAAGTCTTCACAGGAGAGGTAAATATGAATTTTGCCGTTAACAACTTGTCAGGCTGCTTTGTGTGGACTGTGACAGCCAAGGCCAAGTGCAGTTCTGACAGCCTTACAGTCTAATCTGGACCAAGGGGAAGAAGAAAAGCAACGTAGTGTTTTTAGGAGCCCCTTATCACTGGTGAGAAGAATTCCTATGAGAAAGTTGTCACAGTTTAATGAACTTTAGGCATTTTAATGGGAGATAAGAAGTTCTAAGAATTGGATGTAGACAGGCATTCAAAGGGTATCTTCAGACACATTTTTTCAAGCTTGGTTTGTTAACTGAATCCCACACAATCCTGACACCTCAATTAAAAGCACAGACATAAAATACACCTATAATATTAACACGGCCTTTTGCCTCAGATATTCTACTTTCCATAGAGAGAGCCTGTATATAAGAAAATGAAAAACATTTCTGCACAGAGCATGGTTAAGGTGAGCTGCAGCAACCGAAGCTCCGTGTTGCTCCTTCTGGAATGACTGCAATCTCCTGAACAAAATTCCCATTGGACTGCTCAGGGCTATTCTGGGGGTGATGGCTCAGTATTCTGAACACTGGATTAGTGTGGTGAAAGCAGAATGACCGTTTGGTCAAATGTATGTTTTATGAAAACATCTGTGCAGATGTCAGGACTGGGAGCTGGAATGTCACTTCCTCACCTGCTGGTTGTAGGCTGATCTTGTAGCTGGTAATTGTACCACAGTTTGGGCAGAAGGAGTGATTATTCAGTTCTCTTACAGAAGGGTAAGCAGAGTTTTGGCTCGGTGTCCTTTGTGCCAGTTGTTCAGCTCTTTCTTGGGGATGCTATGAGGTATCAACAAAGGATGTTCTGTAGGGGAAAAATAAGATCAGACACATAGTACCAGCTATCTGATGATACACAACTAATATCTGGTGTTCTGTTCCAAGATGTTTGACTGCTGTTTGCTGCAGTAACTGACTGGATTTACTGTGCTGCTCAAGAGGCTGACCAGCTCTACAGTCACAACGTCCAGTGGGTGAGTGAGTGCTGGCTTATCTTACGCAGAGAACCTAGAGGGGAATCTGCATCAACCAGCAGCAAGTATACCTGATGTAACTGGACTAATCAGGACTTTAGTGAGGCCAGATGGGAGCTAAAGGAATAAAAGAAAAAGCAAAGCAGAAAACAAACAGCTCCCTGCTCAAAACCTCTAGAACTTGAAAGGTAAAGGAAGCGTGTGGGTGTTCTACTTGCCCCCCCATCCTCCAATAGTAGTTATTGTACATTCCCATTCTCAACATTATTATCTGCAACTCTAGGAGGGTTTTGACATCATCTGTCAATAGATAGAATTGCTTTATGGCTTTGGTATATTAGATTAGTGGCTGACCAGTACAGTTTGTACTGAATGGGGAAATGTAATTGCAACAGCAGCTTGTGCAGATGTGGTATGCTTGTAGAGATAACATTACAGTTGAAGTAAAATTTCTTTCACCAAACCTGTGGCTTACATACCTAAGAACCAAATTCAGGAGTTGAAAAACAAGCTTAAGGTTAAGTTAAACAAGGAAGTCAGACTTACATATTTTTAAAATGTCTCTCATCTCAAAGGATGAGAGACAAAAAGGAAAACTGAGAAACAAGTACGAAAATCTTCATATATGCCAGAAGGACTAGAAGTGCTTTTAGTGCTGTTGATGAGCCTATTTTTGGAGCCTAGTTTATATTTTGGGGTGTAATTAAATTATTGTGACAGATGTGCTACTGCTTTAATCTGTTGAAGAATGCCTTTCAAATGTCCCTTGTGGCTTTCAAAATGATGCTTGGCAGTAGAGTTCCTTTTAAAAGCATGAATTAGAAAGCAGAGGAAAGCATAACATACATGGTTACATGACAGAAATGGTGGGGTGCGTTGTGTTTTTGGTTTTCTCCTCTCTGTGGGGGGTTTTGGATTAGCAGTACTGCCAACTGAAAGCAGTGTTTCCAACTGAACATGAAGTGACTGGCTGACGTCGTTCTGTGAGTTGAAATAAATGCAGAATTGAAGAAGGCAGAAAGGAAATGTGTAGAAATGTACAATTTGCAAGTCTGTGTTTTTCTTTAAATACTGTTTGTTTGTAAAGATACCTTTTAAAATCTCATCTCAACAACACAGATAAGTTCTTTTGCTATTCCCTGCTTGCCCAGATCCTTCCCTTTCCTGTTCAGCCCCTTTTATGGGTCAAGGTCAGCACAGCACTCATACAGGAATAAAATGTAATGTACCTTAAGTTGTTCTACTTCACCTGAAAGCTGCTGCTCTCTTTGTCGCTTTGCCTCTAAAGCACTGCTTTGCGTTTGTTTCTCTTCCTCTT